GGGTTAGGGGTTTAGGGTTTTAGGGATTTGGGGTTTAGGGGTTTAGGGTTTAGGGATTTAGGGTTTAGGGTTTAGGGTCTAGGGGTTTTGGGTTTGGGGGTTTTGGGTTTAGGGTTTAGAGTTTAGGGGTTTAGGGGTTTAGGGTCTAGGGTGTCGGACAAAGTCCCCCGAAGCTTCCTACAGGGGCTTTAAGGGCCCGGCACCAGCGTACATAATGATTCCGTGCTGCGGTTTAGGGTATTCAGTCTAGTATTTGATGGAGTATGTGGCGTTGAGACATTCATACCCCTAAGGCTGCTTGGGACTAGGAGCTCGTCGTAGGGGTCTAGGGTTCCAAGTTCTCCAGTATGTTGGCGTTTTATGGGGGTCCGGTTTTTTGTCCAGCATTTCTGAGTTGAGGGTTTAGGGTTTGTTTCAGAGCCTGTAGCCTGTCAGTGCCCTGCAAGGTTTAGAAAGCTGTGCTCCGTTGAGTTTCATCGAGTCTTTTCTGGGGGAAGTCTAGGTGGCTCCTGGGTCAGGACCGCAAACCTCAACGCTCCTCTGCCGAGGTGTGGACATGCTTTTCTGGTCTTTCTGCTTGCTGACGTGCATCCAGTGTGTTGCTGGAATGGTCGCGACTGGAGCTGCATCCTGTGAAAATTCAATAAGCAAGCCCTGGAGAAGTCTACAGCTTAATCCCTAAGCCTTGAACCCTGAACCCCACAATTCCGGACAAAGGCACGAAAGGCAATTGTAGCCTTGAGGCAAACGACAAGTCTTCACTTCCGAACTCCAAACCCCTCAAATCCGTCAGGGTGTCGGGCTTAGCCCTGAACCATCTCCAACGAGCCGTTACGCGGTTTAGGGTTTAGGGTTTGGGGTTTAGGGTTCAGGGTTTGGGGTTAGGGTTTAAGGTTTATTTAGGGTTCGGGGTTTTACGGCCCTACACCGGAGCCCCAAACCCTTGACCCTGAATAGCAAGGAAGTTCAAGGCTCTCTTAAACATATCAGTTTCGGAACCCCCTCCCCATCCCCATATACCTAAATCCCAAACCCTCTACCTATAACCTTAAATCCTAAATCCCGAACCCTAAACCGATCCTAAACCCCCAACCCGTTGTGATGGTCCCGATATGGAAACCTTAACAAACAGGGCTGTAGGTTTCCTCGCTATGCTTTCGAGTAAGAACACTATTTTTTCGGGTCTCTTCATGCACTGCTATTAGGGTTTTGGATTTAGGGCTTCGGGTTTAGGGTTCCGTGCAACATGCCGGATATTTTGGAGGTCGTCGGATCAAGGGTAGGGATTTGCAGTGCAGGATTTGAGGTTTCAGGCTTAGGTGCTCAGGGTCCCTCAACCCTGAATTAGGGGTTTAGGGTTTAGGGTTTAGGGTCCCTGGTTGGCTGGCTTCGCCCTTGGTCGTTTGTGCCCTAAACCCTAGACCCTCGAGGTGAGTGCCCTTTGCCGCAGCTTCATCGAGGACCCCTTACAGAACATCGACGTGAGGCAAGAAGTGTTCAGGCGCGGCATTGCAACATTATAGGGGTCGGAATACTTACTAACAGCATGCCCTTGTAGTCCCTTACTGTCATCGTTGTTTCCCCTTATAACCCCTTGATTATAGTTGACTGTGGTTATCGTACAATGCAGCTCAAAACCCTATTATTCTGCTTGTCAAACCCCTATATTCACCAAGTGAGGGCTTTTTTTTGCACAGGGTCAAGGATTCACCTTGGATAGCCTTGCACCCCCGAGATGTTCCCAAAGGCACCAGGTTGAAGACCCGCCAAGGCTTAAAGGTTTAGGGAGAGTCTGAGTAGTTGTCAAAATTATGGTTCCTTTTGGGGTACCCTAAATAATAGGCGCCGTATTATAATAAGGACCCAAAAAGGGACCATAATTTTGACAACCACCCACATGTTCTACGTTCTAAGAGCCCTGAGCTAGTCGGAACATGAACTTTGGATGCTAAACGGCAATCACATTTCATGGTCAGGTACTATGGCACCTTCACTCGCACCTTCCTTTCCATGCTCCCAGGCTGCGTCTTAGGCGATGCTGCGTAAACACAAGTACCCTGTTTGGTAACCCAGCCGTTTCCGGTAGTGTATGTGGCGATTGTTTGTGCCCGTTAGTGCTTGGCATTGGTGCTTTGTTTGCTCCGTTGCTTCCGACCGCCACAAAGTTGCATTGCTCGTTGGATACGCGCGTTTGCACTTGTCGGCGCTGGGTGCTACTGGATATCGAGCCAGAGCATTCTGGATCCTTTTAGGGCTCTTTCAGGACTCCTCAGAGGGCAATGCCGTTCCGGAAAAGTTGCAGCCCGGTCATGTCTTCGGCAAATGCTTTTGAAGTCGGGACCCATTCTTCGGCTGCAGAACGACACTCTGGGCATCCGGCAGCGACAGAAATATTCCCCAGCAGAAGAACGATCACTTAGGGCTTCCAGCAACCAACTGCCCCGCCCTTCCTAAGCCTGGAAGGGATCTCTGAAGCATCTGGCAAGCTGCCTGGGCCGCGTGCTGGCCGGGCAAGTGTTGGTGATGTTTGTCTTGGGACCGCTGCTGTGGAATCTGGATGAAAGAACCCAAACACAAAGTCAGGGCGACGCTGGCGTACTTACCCTCACGTAAGGCTACCCGTACTGCCGAGTTGACTCTCTCCCTGTTGGTCTTTGGGGGGGAGCCTACACATCCATCCCCAAGTAGCTTTGGCCAAACCCTGAGTAGAGACAACTCTGTTCTTCCACTGCCAAGACACAGGAAGCATGGCACAACGCCTAATGAGCTGACAGCCGTTTGACAGCCGCAGTTCTTCTTTAGGTGTGTTAGTCCTCTATAGCCTACCACGCAAGTGCACACCGAGTACACAAAGGATCGTGGCCGATGAGTTTCGGTTCTGCACCTTCATCAGCAACATTTCGGCGTCTTTGAGCACTAGTGCGGAAATACCTAATCTTACCTGGGCTTTCCTCAACCCCCAACTTTCCAGACCAGGAAGCCCACTCTTTCTTGATGAGCAAAGCTTCCCTAGCAGTACATGCTCCGACCGTTCTGTCGTCGACGAAGAGCTTACGGAGAAATGGGGAACTTTCCCTGTATCTTAAGGATTGATCCCACCAAGCAGAGAACCATCGTCACGAGGGACCAAGCATCACCCTGGGGTAAAGAGGTACTGACCTTAATCCCGTAAGGAAGGCACTGGTTATCATATTGCAAGAAGAGCTTCTGAGCCTCGTGGATGCCATCAACAGCCGTAGCTTTTGGATATGCGCCTGTCGCGCCTGCGTGAAACGTGTGAGATCAATCCCGCCTTTTCAAAGGCAGCGAAAAGAGTAACAGTTCGATCATAGACGCCGGAGCGCGACGAAGTGCAGCCACATGGAAGGCCGGACGGAGCAGCGCTTCGAAGACTGGCAAACACCTGGACAAAACTCACGAAAGACTGGTGAGGTGACACGTAGGTGGCAAGCAATCCACATGCGTCTAACGGTCGAGCAAACAACCGGCCCAAAAGCCGAGATGAGTTGCGACCATGCTCCAAGTCCAGCTTCAAGACACGACAATACAGTCAAACATCGGCACGAAGAGGTTGGCCTCAGTTGCTCCAATCAGCTAGTCCGACCTGGGTTTGACTTTGCGCGGTTCCTGGTCTTGGGTGCATGAGCGTCTTGGTTTTACTGCCTCTTGGGTGTTGCAGTCTGTCGTCAGCAGTTCCAGCACACACTGTTTCAGTTGCGTGAATCTTGGAGACATGCCATGTTCACCAAGCTCATGACTGAAGACAGACGAGACGCTGCTGAATGCAGAGCTGGGTTTGTGAAATATGATGAGGGTGTTGTGGCTAGGGCTACGTGGCTTTGCGCTACTTTTCGGCGTTTTCAGGCCATGAGTGGTTCTACTCTCAACCTGGCCACACGAAATCGCTGGGATGGTCCCGACCAAGGGACATGTAGTAAATGCGGAGCTGTTGCTGCAACTATGGATCACTCGCTCTGGAACTTTACCCGAACGTAGGCGTAGGATGTCTCGCAGTAGGCAGTCTCGGCATGGGTATCCCTAGTGCTGTTGCCATTCTGGTTAGAGCCGGCAGCCATGATCCTGGATCGCTACTCTTAGCCCTGGGTTTCTTAGTTGCACGTAGGGTTGCTCCTCGGCCGGAGGACTAATTATACAAGTGAAGGTTACACTCTGCGGAGTGTGAGTGTCGCTCCGTACAGGTCGACATTCAAGAAAGAGTCATCAAAAAACTCAGGTTTGAAATCCTGTTCGCCAACTGGGGACCTCCTTGTAGAGTCGTTGCGCCACGGTTGCATTTCAGTGACCTGGAGTTCAGAATCTTGAATGCGTTGCGTAGGCTGCTAATGATGCTAATGGTTGCACTTGCAGAAAGAAGCGAAGCTGCAGCACAGGTAGCTTCACAAGGAATATTGAATATGCATTGTCGGAAGCCAGAGGTCGAGAACATCAGCGAGTGGTTCTCCTTGTTTTTCCTATTGTGTCTTGGTCCAAATTGACGTTGTGAAAGCTTGCCGGCATCTACACATGGTTCGCACAATTTGTTGGTCCGACTTACACCGAACATGTTGAGTCGCATAGAAGTATATATTCTTTGCTCCTGGCGGATGTGGGAGACAGAGCCGGAATTTTGGCGCCCATTCAGTGTCTCCGGTTGGGTACACGAGCCACCCGCCTTTCCAAATCAATCGAAGCGACGTCAGCTAGGCTCACGTGGCAAACTGAGACCGTTCCGAGGGCAAGCAATTGCACATTCGGCCTTGTGTGGGCTGCAACACGAACCTGTGCTTGCAGGTACCGCTGCGTCCTGGGTTTCGCTGTGCTAAATGTCGCACCTTGGCTCCCATCACCTTTGTACCATAAATATTGGAAACCAAAAGGCGTGCCAAGACTGATTTTCATAGCTCATCGCACAGTTTTACTTGGGTCTTGTCAGAGTCTTGCATCCTATCGGCAAAGAGTTTGAGAAAGTGCTGGTTGCAATAAAAACATGCTTGGAAGTTCTGCATGCATAGCATATGTTCTTGTCATTGTTGCTTGTTTGGTTTCGGAGCATGCAACCACCACGACCACAGAACCAACCCAGTCAGCTGACTTGAGCGGTTTCAAACATGAGTGGTGCAATCTGTGCATTCAGTTTCAGACATTCCGAAGTTGTACGTCCGCTCTCGTGCAGCCGCAAACCTGCATCAGTTGTCCTTACAGCTGCCCGGGCACCTCTGTATGCAAAACGCAACAAAAGCGACAGGAGCCAAAACTCTACGAAATGGATAGTTTGAAATCTTATGCTCCCGAGGTGAATGCGGTTTTCGTTCAGCAAACCATGAAGACCGCCAGCTCTGACGAGGAATTGGCGTTCCCAGGATCAGAGTGGGCTGTTGATTTTAAAGTTTAGGGTTTTAGGTTTGCAGAACCACAGTCAGGGTCAGACATTTCTTGTGTTGCAACCTTAAAGCTTGAAACCCCTAGACGTGGAGTTATGTCGGCTTCCTATCGCAAAAAATCCACACCCTAGAGTTTCGCTGGTTCCTGTTTGTTTATGCCTCCAGAACCCCCACAGACTCGAATGAGGTCATTATGGACCTAAGCCCTAAACCCTAAACCCTAAACCCTAAACCCTAAACCGTATTTGAGTGCGTACAAGGTGTTGGAGTCTCACGACCTTAAGTGCCAACATTGCGGTCATTATGGACCTAAGCCCTAAACCCTAAACCCTAAACCCTAAACCCTAAACCGTATTTGAGTGCGTACAAGGTGTTGGAGTCTCACGACCTTAAGTGCCAACATTGCACCAGGAGGGATCACCGGGGCACTGTTCCCCTGGGGGGTGTGATTCACAGTTTAAGGTTTAAGGTGCATGATTTTGATTGCTTTGTTGTTTGCAGCGGTTTGAACCCGATATGCGGCTCCCCGACCATAGCTACGCCCTAAGCTTCTCAATCCTAAACGTGTCTCCTATCCGAACTTCCATGGCTTGAGGAATCCCAAAGTTCTAAATCCGACTGTCATCCGCAAACCTGGCTCGGGGAATATTTCGCAAACCCTCAGAAGGGTCCGGAAAGAAGCTAAAATCTAACACCTACACCCTCCACCCAAAATCCTGAACACAAAAACCCTACAAGGTTCAAGCAAAAGGAGCGGGACGTGGCCATATACACTCGGAAGGTGCTGGGCCTCCCTAAACCCTACACCCTAAACCCAGGTGCTGGGCCTTGGGTCGTCACAGACATGTGCTGCTACACAATGACTCTCCCAAAGGAAGCATTCCAAAATACCTTAATTGAGAATGACTGCTCAACTTCCTTAACAATATGCCAGCCTTATTTCACAGACTGAGTCACATCTAGTCTTCATATCTGGGCTCTTTGATTCAGGAACTGTAACGTCTCTGGATATGGCTCTCAATGCGCGGGAGTGGTCTGCCTCCATCACAAGGGATCATCATTCGGCAACAAGCCTGACACTTTGAGTTCGAAGCTCTGAAGCCTTCACAAAACCTGACAGAATCCGAAGCGTAATGAAACCTGAAACCGGAAGAGGTCAAAATGATGCGCCTTCGTAATGGTAGACTAGCACCCTAATCCTGCTTCGAACCCTAAACCCTTCACTCCAACATCCAAGCAAGTCACCGCTCCGTTCCCCGCTGCCCGAACGTCTCGAAATCCCTGGAGAAGTAGCGCTTGAAGTACATGAGGGACCCTAAACAAAGGATATTGGAGTGATTTGGAGCCTTAAACCCTAGAAATACCTCAGCCCAAGCCAAGATTCGAAACTGCAACCGCAAGTCTGACCGGCCAACCCTAAACACAGTAACCCTAAACCCTAAACCCAAATACAATAGCGCTCCACACGCTTCAGGTGAAGAAGCTCTTCGAAACAATGGACGAAGAGGGCGACGGAGCACTTAGCCTGGAGGCGTTTGGGGCGGGGGGAGGGTTAGAGTATGTTGAAGTTGTGGTGCCAAAGAAAGGTGTTCGAGCCTCCACTATCTGTAGGTGACAGCAGGCACGTGTGCTGGCCTCATCGGGTACAAGTCCTAACCTCATTAATCACTTGCATGTGTGCTGATCCCCATCGGGCAGTATTCCTACTCCAAATTTGTTGTAGGTATCACGCAAAACGGTCATTTCAAGTTCTAGCGAAGCCAAGAAATTCTGTAAGCGAACAGAACCAGGTGAACTGGGCCTGTGCATTCAAAGGTACGCCATGCCAGCACTGCCAGCAACCTCACCAATGTTGCTACACCCACCCACAGATCTCATTCCAAACAACCTAAACCCTAAACCTTAACTTATTGATGCAAAACCCAACTTTTCAACTTTTGGGGTTCTTATGAGGTAGTCCTCTTCTGAAAGTTCGAACTTTTCAGCCCATAGGTATTCGGGAAGTAGGCTAAACCCTAAACTCAACACTGGCACAAGCCAAATTCCACGAGCTTCAAGCTTCAGCCTTGAAACCTTGAGCTCCTAACTATAGTTTCCTTAGGAATTGTTTTGTCATATAAGGCCCAAGAGGGCCTTAAAGATATTTTGATTATGGTTCTACGGAGGGGGGTATAGTAAAATCTTTAATCGTGAACCCTCCTCTCTGAAACCATAGTTCGAAATGCTCCAGAATAGTCCAAAATCGCTTAAGGAACATGTTCCCAATCCAGAAGGTATGGTAGGCACAACTAGTCAGGGGATATTGGAGACCCCCACAGAGTCAGCCCTGAACCCTAAACCCGTAAAGAACCCTGAAGAAACACTACAAGGTCGTGAGAAGCCCGAAAACGCCCTGGTGAAATATCCGGGTCTGCCGAAACATCAGACAACGAATCCTGACATGAACCTTGTTACAGACTGCCTTTAACAAGAGGAGTTCACGAAGCTCGCTCAGTCGCCGAAGCTCAAATTTTGGATGAGCCAGCTTCATGGCTTGGGTAACCTAGTGGTTAGGGGTTTTGGGGGTTAAGAGTTTAGGGGATTAGGGCTTGCAGTAGGGTTTTAACCGCGATCTCAGGCTTTCAGAGGTCCAAGATGGTCCAAGGGTTTCGGAGGTTGGCCAGCACAACTCCAGCTGTAGCTCCGTGATGTTTTAGTGCTTGGGCAGTCAGGGCTTTCGGTTTGGGGTTGTCGGGGGTTTGAGTGCCTCCTGCTTGAGAAGTACGCGACAATGTCTGTAGAGGGTGTGAGGAATACGAAGATGATGAAAAAGTGAGTTTGATGATGATACTGATGGTGAAAGTGGTGATGAAGATGGAGATGAAGGTGATGATGATGATGATGCTGCTGATGATGATGGTGATGGTGATGGTGATGGTGACGGTGATGATGATGGTGGTGGCGATGGTGATGGTGATGGTGATGGTGATGGTGATGGTGATGGTGATGGTGATGGTGATGAAGATGGTGATGGTGATGGTGATGGTGATGGTGGTTGATTTGTTGGTGATGATGTTTGTTGATGATGGTGACTGTTAATGATGGTGACTGTTGATGGTGATGATGATCACTGTTGATGATGATGATGTTGATGATGATGATGATGATGATGATGAGGATGATGTTGATGATGATTGAGGATGATGATGGTTATGATGATGATGGTGGTGATAATGGTGATGGTGATGATGATGATCATGGTGATGATGATGAAGATGATGGTGATGATGATGATGATGATGGTGATGGTGATGGTGATCATGTTGGTGGTGGTGGTGGTAATGATGATGATGATGATGATGATGATGATGATGACGGCGGTGGATGGCGGTGATGCCGGCAATGACGGTCATAAGGACGGGGGCAAGAAAATGATGATGTGTATTTGGCTGAAGATCAGTATGATCGTGAGGTTGGAAAGGGAGGGGAAGTTGAAGATGACTACGACAATGGAAAATGATGATGACCTTTGGGGATGATGATGACTCAAAAGACAACTCGCCAATGGTCTTGCAAAACCAATGAGCCACCCCTGATATAGGGGCCGTAAGAATTACCTGTACTAATTTGGAGCTTCCTTGTTATAGCTATAGTATAAAGTACCCCAACCAAAGCTAATCAAACCCTCCCATCCCCACCGCAAGTCCCTGAACCCTAAACCCCTTAAGGAACCCCAGGAGGATCCAAGAAGTAGATCCCTAAAGGGGGGTTCCTATAAAGACTCTTTAGTAGTATAGGGTCCCAAATTAGGGGATCTACTTTGTAGATCCTCCCATGGGTCTGGGTAAGGAACCGAGTACGCCAAAGGTTAGAGCTGGAGTACCACGATCTCCTGTCGCTTTTCGAGCCGCTCTGCAGCCATGTCACGGCAGAGGGATTCAAGCGTCAGGGTTAAGGGTTTAGGGTATAAGCGGTAGACGCGGTATACAGGGTTCAGAGTCTAGGGTTTAGGCAGTGTAAAGTATCTGGCTTCAGTGTGTTAGGTGTCGCCCCTACACTAGTCGTAATTATTCCGATCTCCATGTTGGGGTAACCTTTCGACTTTGATACAAGGGAAGCACTTTCCATCTTCGTGTGATTTCGGGATGAAAGCATTTGCTTGTGGGGGGTCGTTCGGGTTGTAAGGGTTTTGTAGGGTGTAGCAGTGTAGCATTTCAGGTTTAGGGTCTAGGGGTTCAAGCAATGGTGTTGTAGGTTTACAGGCTTCGTAATCATGGAAGTTTTCCAAGAATCATCGAGCAAGAAGATCACTATAACCCTAAACCCTAAACGCTAAACCCTAAACCCTAAACCTATACCCTTTCAAGCTAGGTTCCTTATTTATTCGGTGTTGGGCTCTGGGGTAAGCAGTCCTACTGCAGGCCCGGGCCCTAGACCACCGACTATCAGGAGGGCTGTTCAGGTTTCGTCCATAGCGCAATCATGGCATGATACACCCCAAAACCCTTTTCCAAATATAGAGGCCCTTGTAGCGGGTTTATTAGGTTAGTGTTTTTTTTCACTCGGCTTGGCACGTACTTGGCTTTGACACTCTACCGGACTCTACCCCTGACCGAGGGTCCATAAAGCCTTAAACTTCCCTAATTCCTAGCTCAAACCCTGAATCCCTAAATCCTAAACCCAGAAAGCATGATCCCATAGCCCGTAAACTCCAGTACCCATAGTTTACGATGCAACGCCGGGAGTGTCAAGCACCCGCCTGACCGGGAACCTCCCTGCGTCTATAATGCGGTAGCGGCCATGATAGCGGTCATGTTTCCGCACGACATGTACATTATAGTACCCCCAAAAAGTAAGCCCTATGGCAGCCGGCAACCCATGAAACGTACCTCATAGTAACCCTTACTTAAAGGATCATGGGACTTAGTAACTAAGGTTATTAGGGTAACTAGATTTATAACTACTTATAACCCCAATTAAGGTACTTATAACCATACTTACTAAGTCCCATGATCCTCCAAGAAAAGCAGTTCGGAACCCTTCAGTTCGCGTTCATTGGCAGAGCTTGGTGGACTGAAGGGCAAGGTTCAGGGCTTTGGGCTCGTTGCACAAGAATCGCCGCAAACCCCAATCCCAAGCAAGCTATACAGGGCTTATGGGGTTTAGGGTTAGACTGGTTGGGGTTTAGGGTTTAGGAATTAGGGCTTATAGTTTAGGGTTAGACTGGTTGAACTCTTGGAGCCGACAGTCTATCAGGTTCCTGGACAACGGCGATGGGCAAATTACGCCGACCGAGTTTATCGAGGTGGAAAGATTGGTACGGTGAGCAGTGGAGGTTTTCTGTGGATCTTGCTTTCTCATCAAAGCCAGTGTTTTTCCCACGGCCTAACTGCTCCGAGGTTTACAAGAAAACGCTTGTACTTTAGGTAGGCACTCCTTTAAAAAAACACGAACCCCAACCCTTTCAGGAAAAGTCCGGGTATTCCGGAAGTGAGTTTGGAAAGGGGCCCCTGAGCTGGAGAGTCCCGACTTTCGTTCGCACCACCCCAACGGATGAGCCCTGCATGCAAAGGCATTTTGAATATTGTTTCAGAGTAATGCAGGGGCCTGGACCATCTAGATTGAATCGACTCTTTACGTATCACATTACGTACCCCTAGTAACCTCCTAACCTAAACCCCCCATCCAGATGCCAGGTTAGAGGTTTGAGGTTTCTGCCAGGAGGATACCGCTCCGCGCGTCTGATACCTCTCCGCGCATGTGATACCTCCCCGCGTCTGATACCTCCCCCGCGGGATACCTCCGCGCGTCTGATATACCTCCCCTGCAGGATACCTCCG